AAAGAGATTTGGGGTGGCACTTCGGGAGAGTGCAGTGTGAATCTGTGGCACACCTGGCAAAATGGTTAGCCCCCACTGCCTTAAATAATTTCTCTTTTTTCTATAATTCTTGTTAAATACAGCTGTTTTGAGTATTTCAATATTTTAGTCAATATAGCATGATCAGTGATTTGCATTGTATCAAACCTTATTCACAGCTGGGCTTTTTCCCTGCAGGAAGCAAGCAAATCAGACTGGTGAATGGGACAGATCGCTGTGCTGGGAGAGTGGAGATTTATTACCAAGGCTCTTGGGGAACTGTCTGTGATGATTCTTGGGACCTATCAGATACCAACGTGGTTTGTAAACAGCTGGAATGTGGACACGCCATCAAGGCAGCTGCCTCTGCTCGATATGGGAAAGGCTCAGGACAGATCTGGCTGGATGATGTGAACTGCTCTGGGAGTGAATCCAAGCTCTGGGAGTGCCCTTCCAGGGGCTGGGGTGAGCACAACTGCAGACACAAAGAGGATGCAGGAGTGCTCTGTTCAGGTCTGTTCTACACTTCTTCTGAGCCTGGTTTCCAGGGATTAAATAGAGGGGGAGGATGTTAATTGAGCTCTCCCTGATTATCTCTGCTTTTCTCTTATCCAGCAGTCAGCAATATTTTCTGGCTGCAAGCTGGAGTGGCCCAGCTCTGGTCCAATGTGGGCCAGTACTGGGACCAGGCCTCTGCTACCACTGCTGCTTCTCCCCACACCCCTGCTGTGGTGCAGCACGTGAAAGCTGCCCACCATCCAGTCCTGGTGTGGTGTGCTGCAGTGCGGGTCAGCTGAAGCCCCTGCTGCCCAATGCTGCTGAATGTCCCAGCTTCAGTGGCTCCAGTGTCCATAGGTTGCTCTGATCTATTTGGCTATGAGGATAATCCAAGGAAAGTCATTTTTTGTTGTCAGTTCCTTATATGTTGGTAGGATAATTACAGCACTTCTTTGCTATTAGAAGGGCCAGTCACTGCTGTGTCTCAGCTGTTTCTGTATGTCGATGTGAACAAATGGTGACTTTCCAGAGGTGACCATTGTATTTCTAGTGGGGCTCTGGTGACTAGGAGAGTCTCTGACCCCTGTAGTAATTCTTACTGGCACTTGCTTCTGCACAACAAATGCACAGGACTGTTAACTGTCTCTGTTTATCCGCTCTGCATATCCCAGGTTGCATCAGAATCAGAAAAGTTTAATACCATTTTGTGCATTTCCTTCTAGAGTCCATGGATCTGAGACTGGTGAATGGCAGTGACTGTGCTGGGCGTTTGGAGGTTTTCTATAATGGAACATGGGGGAGCGTTTGTTCTAATCAGATGACTCCAGTCACTGCAAGAATTGTATGCAAACAGCTCAACTGCGGAGATGACGGGGAAATTGCACCAGACTTTGCATATGGACAGGGTTCTGGCCCCATGTGGCTGGACCGCATTGAGTGCCATAAGCATCACAGATCCCTTTGGCAGTGCCTGTCAGAGCCATGGGACCCAAAGTCATGTGGTACCAAAGCAGAAGAGACTCATATTACTTGCACTGGTAATTTTTAAAGTGCCTTAATACAGACATACATACAAATATGCACTTGTACATGCACACACAGTGGGGATGAAATTTTGTATTTAATGCATACTTTTCAATATAGCCAGTTTCCCATTCTCAGTATAAACACAAAATTGGTTTCATTGTTATGAGAATGAGAACTTGGCCTGGTAAGCAAACAAAACAAAGCTGGCAGTTAATTTATTGTAACTGGAAAAGGATTTAAACAATGAAATCACCTACTGATACCCAAAAAAGTCCCTTGTTAAGGAGCATCAGCAGTGCAGGTCTTTGACATAAATCTTTTTGGGGTAACTAGCCCAAGTGGAACTAGTGATTTGAAGTTTGTGTCAGATTCTGAAGTCCTTGGAAGTGGGTGTACGTGTGTGTTGTGAGTACATACTTATAACCTGCTAGAACTAGATTTAAATGTTGTTTCTAATAAGTTATCTACAGACAATAGTTCTTTTCTTTGCCTTCCCAGACATATCTGGGATATGCTTCAGGTGGCAAATCTATTTATGTGCTTTCTTCAAGAGATTGGAAATACCTTTAGTCTCTTACTGCAGAAAGTGGAACAGACCAAATTGCTTGAAGTTGTGGCAAGGTTGCTTTAAACTGGATATTAGGAAAAACTTTTCACTGTCAGAGCAGTGCGACTAGACTGCCTATGGAAGTTGTAGAATCTCTGTCACTGGAGCTGTTCAAGAAGAGGTTGGACAAGTATTGGTTAGAGATGATCACTTTAGTAGTAGCTATGTCTATACTCTTCTATGGGAATTTCTGATGCTTCTGTGTTTTGTTGGTTGCCACATGGGGCTTGGAAGGAATTTTTTCCCCCTTCTGCTGCCATGTGTATGTTGGGGTAGGGTGGGGGTGCAGGTGAGGATGGGAGTGGTTCACCTTCCTCAGGAGAATTGTCTGCAGTTATGGCTGGGGATTTTGACTGAAGTGTACCAATGTTCCCGCTGAGACTTATACCCAGAGGTTCCTGGATAGTGGGTCTTGCCCATCCCCTCAGGGTCAGACTGATCTCTGTATGTGGGGTCAGGAAGGAATTTTACTCCATGATCAGATTGGTAGGGACTGTGGGGTTTTGTCCTTCCTCTATAGTGGAGACATGCCTCTCATCCTTGGATTTCTCGAGTGTATTTTAACAACCCAAGTAGCAGCAGGACATTGGATGATATTGTCCCACAGCTTTGTCCTTCCAACTCTACTTTTCTATTCTACTAGCCAATTGTTCATCATGAATGACAGATTTAAAATAACGAAGGAGTGTTTACATGGCCGCCCCCCGCCACCCATATAAACACTCCCTCCGCTGCTACTGTCTCCTCTTCCAGCCACCGGTGCGGAGGCTCCCTCCCCCTGCCCTTTTCCACCTCCTTCCCTGAGCAGCGGGGCTTCCCCCTGCCTCCCTTCCCTCCTTCCCCTCCCCACAATCCTAACTCCCCGCTGCCTCCCCTTTCCTGCCAGCTGTTGGGTGTGTGCGCGCCCTCCTTCTCCCCCTGCCCATCTCCACCTCCTCCACTGAACAGTGGGTCTTCCCCCCCTCCCCCCAACTGGTTTTTAATTTATAAAAGCCTGAAATTAGGGATTTAAAATAGACAGCATCTTTAGTCTCTCATGCATCCCACACACTAATCAATCTGTTCACCTCAGCATTTTATTTTTTCAGGACAAAAAGCAAACTCAACTCAGACTGTATTTGCTGAGTGCCCAAACTCTACAAGCTGCACAGGTACCTCTGCTTTTCTCTGTGTCTCTTTCCTAGTTCCTGAAGTTTCACCAGCTCTCCCAGTAACATGTGAGGTTTTTGCCTTTACCAGATAAGGAAAAGCTCCGTGTTGTGGGAGGAGAGGACGGATGCTCAGGGAGAGTGGAGGTTTGGCATCGCGGCTCCTGGGGAACAGGGTGTGATGACTCCTGGGACATGGCGGATGCTGCTGTTGTGTGCAAACAACTGGGCTGTGGACCTGCCGTGTCTGCTCTGACCGGGGCTGCATGCGGGGAGGGGACTGGCCCCATCTGGCTGGAGAAGTTGAACTGCCGAGGGACAGAGTCATCTTTATGGGGCTGTTGTGCTGAGCCCTGGGGTGATAGTAAGTGCCTCCATAAGGAAGATGCTGCCGTGATTTGCTCTGGTGAGTGACAGAAGTGAATGCTATACAGACTCTGCAATTTTGGGAAAGGCATGATATGCAGCCAGACTTTGAAGACACAACAGGACTCTCAAGGGGGATGTAGCAAACACAATGCCTCTTCCTTATTGCAGGGCTCAGCTCTCTTTCTTTTCCCTTTCACAGGTGTGGCACAGGTGACATCCATACCTACAAGAACAGGTAAAATATTCTACTCCCATGGATGGTTAAATTTCCCTGGTGCCAGGGTCACAGGGGGAGGAGCTGTAAGTTTCAGCCTGAGAAAATAAGCTCTTCCACATAGTGAAGGATCTAGTAGTGGTGCTCAACCTTTTTGGACAGTGGGCCAGGTGGGCAGTGCCCAGGCTGTCTGTGGGCTGGTTCTGGCTGTTGCTCCCATTCTGGCACATCACAGTTAAGGCAGGTTCCCATCCAGGTGAGTGGAAGCAGGCACTAACCTGGCCTTGAGTGGGGGAGGGATGTGGCCCAGCCCTGTGGGTGAAAGGGAGTGTAGCCCAGCCCCAATGCAGCCTCACAGGAGGAAGGGGGCTTGTCTTGGCCCTGCCAGGGTGGGGGAGGAAGAGGTCTTTAGCCAGTCCCATGAGGGAAAGGAAGCATGCCCCAGTCTCATTCATCCACAGTGGTATGAATGGGCATAGTCTGACCCCAACCTGATGTGTGGGGATCAGAGTTTGGAAATTTGGCAGCAGGGGAGGGTGGCCATATTTATTGTCACTGATCCCTGCTGCCAAATTTCCCAATCCATGGGAAACTCCATGGGCCAGATACCTATGGCTTTGCAGGCCTCATTTGGCCTGTAGGCTAGAGGTTGAGCACCCCTGTACTAGAGAATGACACTTGGGATGGGAGCATCAGAGAGTGCTGAGCTGGAACCATTCCTGGCCAATGACTTCTGGTTGATGGGGCAGGGCCCATGAATCATGCAACGTCTGTGTATCTACGATCTGTATGCCAGCATGTAACCTGGCTGCCCTGGGCAGTGTGTTTTAGAGACCGGGGGAGTTTACTTTAGAGATCAGTTTACTTGAATGCAACACTCTCTACCAGTTCTGCTGCATGCATTTTCCCTTTCAGGTCTGCCCCACCGCCAAATTCCAATAGATGATGGAAAAGACATGGTACCCATTGTCATCTGTATTACCTTAGGGGCCCTTCTCTGCTTGGTCTTCATCATTCTGAGTGCCAGGGCACTGCACAGAGGTGAGTTCTCTTGTTATAAGTGTGTAAAACCTAAGAAGAACAGTTTTGTACTGAGATATTCAATAGACATGATAATTCTGAGCAGAAAGTGAGCTGGAGAAGAGTATAGTAGAATAGATTATTATATGTATATGCGGCAAACAATTGAACACACATTAGCTACAAGCACTCTGGAGAGCAGAAAAGTTTTTTTCATCTTTTAATAATGCTCTATGAACTTCAGTGTGGAAGAGCAAGTATTTCAGTTTCTACAATGGGAGATAATCAGGAATAATGAGGTGAGATTAAGAAGGAAATTTGGCGCTGAATATGTAGAGAGAAATCAAGATAGTGAAACTTGCTTTCAAGATGATTCTATGGGCTGTGGTGAAAAATAACCCTTGTCACCTAGGCCATTTAAACCTACACTAGACAAAGCAGGTCTTCACTGGCCCCACAGGGGTGGGCTGAATGATGAGATAATACAGCTTTCTTCATGTTTTCTGTGTCCATGACATTGTGAATATCCTGCCCTCCCCTTTCAGGCTCCAGAAGATCATCAGGTCCCTTCTCTGAGGCCTTGTATGAGGAAATTGATTATAACATGATGAGGGGAAACCTTGAAATGTTTGGGCGCTCTGGTCTGTATGTCCCATTCCTAAAAGGAAGCAAATATGCAAAGTGTACCCCATCCTGACTGCAGCAGGTTTGGGGCTTCTAGCATGAATCTGACACACCTTAGCAGTTAGTTCTATCTGCTTGTGCTCTCCCACCCTTCTGCCACCTCCTTTTTTCTGCCAGCTGCCACATCCTTGATGATGCATATTATTACAAATCTTGGAGGCTGCCCTCCAAATCTTGGAGGCTGCCCCTGGAGTAGCTCCTTTCATGCTTGTCCCCATAGGACCACCAGTCTGGCCAAATCCATGCTTCTCTAAATAAACCCCAGCAGCAGCTGCCTGCTGGTTTCCCAGGCTCATTCTACTTTGGAACTAGTATGAGACCTGTTTAGTCCTAATGCGACTCTGACTTGTGGCCCTTCAAATCACTTCTCTGGATCTGCTTACCCTGCAGTTCACTCCTCTGGGCCAGCTTGTTGGACCTGCCTTTAGCATAGCTCTCAGCTTAAGCACCCACCATCAGCTGCCCTAAACTCTGTAATCAGCACAGTGCTCCTCTGCTGAGAGCTTTCCCAGCCTCCACCTTCCCTTTTCTTGTCACTCCCATGCCTCAAAGCAGACATAAATATATCCTTAACTCAAAACTGTGGTTTCCCTTCATTGAGGCTCTCCCTGCTGTCCACTGGTTTCTGTAATCCTAGCTTCAACTCCTCTGGCTACTTGCTTGCCAGTTGCTGCCAGCATGTGTTGGCCATTAATTTATCCAGTTGAGTTCAAATGGTTGCATACTGTATTTTCTCTCTCCAGCCTCTAATTCAGAGGATCCACCGATGAAGCGGCAGTATTACTCCAGGGAGAGCAAGAAGGAAAGTGACTTTGGATCAATGCAAGGTAATAGAGGAAGAGAAGATGCAGGGGTAAAGACCCAATCCCAGCTGGAGAATTTAGTTTTCTCAGTATTTTTTGCGAATACAGTCATTTCCTCTCACTCCATGTCATGTTCCAGTACTAATATAGACAAAAAGATTGGATCAGATCGTATTTCACAACATGTTCAAAGATTTATATAAAAACTTCCTGTGATCAGCTCCTGTTGTTTAGAGCCATGGTGCCTCCCATAGCTGAAAAAGGAGAATATAAAAATGTTTGTCACAGAAAAACCTGGATGTACCAAATACTGATCTGTTCCTGTGATCTCATCCTCTACTTCCCTGACACAAGCAAAGAGCCAAAGTTATAATCTAGCCATATTTTAGAAAATACTTTAAACCACATGCATAGTGTCTGGTTGAGTTCATGAAAGGAAGCTCTAAAGGCAGCAGCTACTGTCTTCCATTTTATCCAGTGTTAGCTTAGCACCAGCATGGATCCTGGATGGCACAGCTGCTTTTCAGTTCAGTGGGGCAGGACTGGGCCTATAGCTGTTCATGAAAAAATAAATATAGCCCTGATCCTGTTTTACAAATAGCTATGACTTCCCTTTCCCCTTGATCATTCTGTGATGCTACATATACGTGCCATGATAAACAGCCCCACCTACCAGGTAATGGGCATTTTGAGAGAACTAGAAACCTCCTGGTGAACAGGCAAATTTAAAGCAAGGTGTGTGGTGCTTGCTGTCCAGAGGGAGCCTTTCCTGGGGTTCCTTAGTATGATTATAATAACATGGAGGTTGAGTGATGAGCTCCTGACTTGGAACAGCCAAGGCGAGGAATGACACCATACACTGAAAATAATGTTAGTCTCTTAAAAAGCAGAAATATTGTTGGCATAAACATAAGGATTTTCCTCTGTGAGTTTGGTCTTGGAAGGTACAGGTGTCTCTCTGAGATCAATTATAGCTATTCTTACTGTGAAGTCAAAGTAACTTTGGTTAAGTTCCAGACCTATATGGAGTAGACCCAGTAACAGAAAACCCTGTGGTGTTCTAGGTCAGGACAGAGGCACATTGGCTGAGCAAAGTTGTTGCTTGGAGTTTTCCATCAGAATGATGTACTGATAAAAAATGTTGTTTCAGTGGGATGGACAATTTCTGAAGGATAAAATAACAAGTCCACAGAGTCTTTATGTCTTGACTTTCAAAATGGCCACCTGCCAGGGCAGTCAGCCAGCTTGGGAACCAGCTATGCAGTTTCCTGACCTGATCTGCCTGTGAGCCTTTTATATAATTTTTTACACATCAACTGAATTTTTTATTTTTAAATTTATTTTAATTTTGTTCAGAATTCTATTAAATTCTGTTAAATTTTGAAATTCTAAACAAGATCATTCCTGC